GGGGGACGAGCTCCTCCCGGCGGGGAATGGGAGCCTGGGCCAGAGGGGTGAGCCCCCTTTCTCGGGGGGACCCCCGGAGCGCAGCCCCTGCCCTCAGACGTGGCCTGGTCCAGTCAGGCCCTGCAGCCCTGTCCCCTACCCAGGCAGGGTTCACGCAGCGGTGCGGACCTTGGTGTATCTCCGCTCCTTTCAGGGACCCAGAAAACCAGCCATTTTTTAACTCACATCCCTTAAAAGGCAGTGGGTGGTCTTCCCCTTGCTGCAGAGCACCCTCTTTTGCTGCAGGGGTCTGGCTGTGTGCCCCCCGCGCTGCCGGTTGTCTGCCCAGCACCCCTGTGAGCTCCAGGGCAGCATGCTCAGATGGGGGAACGGGTGACGGTGCCTGGTTGATTATTTTTCTTTTGCAGGCCTCTCGACACAGCCCATCTGGCGCAAGCTGTGGGACGATGTGATGAAAACCAGGCCACCCAACTCGGAGGTGAGAAACGCTGCTGGTGGGAGAAGGGGCACAACGCAGGCGCCCCGTTCCTGCTGTCTTAGTTTTGTTTCTAAGCCTGCCAGTGCTGCTGGCCACCTTCAAGTGATTGCTGGCACTTGTTTGTAAGCGTTCATAGAGCTCCGGACCAGGGCATGACCCTGGCAGTACAATCATTTTGGGAAACGGGGTTCATAGAAGGAACTGCAGTGTACGGCCACACCCTTCATTTCACAACAGCGAGTTTGCCAAAGGAATAAATCCTGTCTTTAGAGACATAACTCTTAGGGAAACAGAGGATAAAAACAGTATCTTATATCCCACTTATACCTATGCTGGCAAAAAATGTGATGTCTTAGAAAGGACTAGAAACTTACAGAAGACAGTGAGTTTGGAAGAATAGTTTTACATAGCAAAACCAAAGCAGTTCCATTGATTCAGCATTCCAAAAGAACAAACACCTTAATCACAGACCTATAAATAGACGCTCAGGAAGAAGATTCCTGATGATCTGGTTTTTAATAGGCAAAAACATGGCTTCAAGCCACTGAATGTGTTTCTATTAGGCCAGAAGCAGAGAGTGATGGGAGTAAGTCAGTTTTTGAACAAAGACACTGAGGAAGGATGTTGAGAACTAGAAGGGTAGTCTCAGTTGTGCTAGCAGTAGGTTTTTTTGGACACCATGTTTACCAGGTTAGCAGATGGCAATAATTTAACTTAAAAAGAGGGAGAAAAATTGTAGCTGACTTTTTATTAATATGGCCCAGTTGTTTAATTGCAGAATATAACCTGTTGGAGGAAGAAGTTCCTTGAAACGTTCTTCTCAAATGTTCTGCACGGTGTCTTGGATGTTTCCTCTGACTGGCGTCTCAATGACCATCACTTTTCGCCGCTGCTCCACAGCTCCCCACACGTTTCCCAGCTTACCCTCTGCAACATGCTGCAGGGCGCGGTGGAGCTCACTGCTGAGCACAACCAGAAAGTGCTTGAAAACCTGGCTGGCTCCCTGCAGATCCTCAAGTTCCAGCACCTCCTCTCCTCCGACCAGTCCATCAGGCGTTCACTGGTTTTACTTCTTCACCGGCTGATTCACCATGGCTCTGTCAGCCAAGTCTCCATGTATTCCTGGCCTGTTCCTGACACGGTTCTTCTCGTTCTTATTTTGAGCATGAGCGCTGGGTTTTGGCGCTCAGGAAGTGCCCTCGTGTATCACAGCAGCCCATGTGGCCTTTGCAGAGAGGAGAAGGACAAAGCCCAAAGCCAGGAATCGGCAGAAGAGCGAGCAGAGAGGGGCCGCTGCGATGAGAGGGAGCAGAGCGATGGTGAGAACCAGAAGGGATCCCCCAGGGCCCCAGAGGAGACTGATGCTCGCCTGAACTCTGTCCTCTCCAGACCGAGAAGTCCTCCTCTACGAAACCAAGCGTGTGAGGAGGCAAGCAGCAAGGTGCCCTGTGACTACACCAGCATTCAGGGAGGATCTTCTTGTTGCGTCTCAGACCAGCTGTCCTGTCACCCTGTTCTTCGAAAGACGCGCAGACGGCTGAAATCTGCAGTGGGGAAGAAACGTCGCTGCCTCAGACGAAGCAGGGGACTGCATGCTGACCCAGAAGACCTGTATGATTTTGTTTTCACTGTTGCTAGAGAGGATAATGCAGGGTTACTTGACACAAACAGTGCCACAGAGGGAGAAAACCCTGAGAACTGGACTAGTTCCTCCCGAGGATCTCTGTGCACTGGCCATGCTGTCTGTAAGAAAAGAGGAGGATCTGCTGGGATCTTTTCTCTGAAAGCTGCTCACCGCTTCCGAAGCGTGTCCACGCTGGAATTGTTCTCCATTCCTTTGACTGGGGAGACATGTCGGACTCTGTGTAATCTGCTGAGCTCCTGGGTGTCTTTAGAAAACCTGGTTCTGTCTTACAACGGTTAGTGGTATGAACGGGTTGCTCCCCTCTAGCCTTTGTCTAATGCTCAGGTTTACCCTGATTTTATTTTTACCAGAATGGGCATTGTGAGAGCGTTGGTACCTGATGTTGAGAATGGCATTGTTAGAGATGTTCAATGAGTGTGAGGGTGTGTTTGAGGGAGAGAATGGGACCCTTCTGCCCCAGAACAGTCCCCGGCTTTGTGCTTAAATGAAGAGAAGGTGAAGGGGAGAGACAGTTCTCCATCCCCTGTACACACAGCCTAGCTTAAGAACGTGTGGATAAATAGTCTGTGAGTTTAGCCTTTGGCTGAGGTTGCTTGGCCATCGGTGCAGCTCCAGCTGTGTGTGCGTTGGTGTCTGTGCCGGCACAGCTAACGCCTTTCTGTACGTGTGCTGTTCCAGGCCTGGGCGCTAACATCTTCTGCATCCTCTCTGGGCTCCGGGCCCTCTCCCGCCACCCGGACTGCCACCTCCGCGTGTTGCGCGTGAGCGACGTCTTCTCCCACGTGCCCTGTATAGAGCTTGTTCACTGCATGCTGAGCACCGTTCCCCAGCTGCACACGCTCTCCGTCAGCTTCGACCTCAAAAACCAGCTGGAGGGGAACAGGCCAGAGGGGAATCCAAGCTGCAGTGAGGCAGAAATCCCAGGTAGGAAAGAGATTCTGAGTGATGATCAGGACGTGGCAGGCAGATAGAGCAGTAAAAGCTTGGCATGCAGATTTGAACTCCACACTGTTACAGTGGTGTGTAATTAAGCAATGACAGCCTCACCTTTCTGATTTAGATGGTGCTGCAGCTTGGCATTTCCGGTCAGTGATACGCTCTGTGGAGCCTGAGTCTTGCACAAAGCATTTTATTGCTGTATGCCAACCTGCTGCAACATCAGCTTTGTACAGGGTGAGTTGTGACCTGCTAGCAGTGACTGTCCGTGCAGTCCACGGGGAGCGTATCCCATCAGATCTGTAAATGGGTTGGGAGCTTCTGCTCTGTCCATACTATGAGGCTCTGAGCCTTAGACAGACCCTTAAGCACAGGAAAAGCATCTCTTGGTCATCACAGTTCCACAGGTGATGGCAAAGCACTGTCTAAGCTCCTGGATTACAGTCTGGGAGCTATAGCAGTGTGTTCTCAGCTCACAGCTCTCTTTTTGCCCTTATTAGCCTTTGAATGACCAGAAAAGCAGTAAGCAAAGCTTGAGCGAGCATGGAGTGGGGTCAGTGAAGAGCTGTGCTCTGGGAAGACGCTGACTGGTTTGTGCACAAAGGGTGACCTTTTCTCAAGCGTTGTTTCACTGCCAGAATGCAGTAGAAATTAGTGGCACTGTGGTCTGGCAGGAGTCCTGAAATGAGCCTGAAGTGATTCACATTACCATAGGTCTGAGGTGCCACAGAGCTCTGTGAGGCAGGGTGCGTCGCATAGGCACTTTCTGCCAATCTAAATGATAGTCATGTCAGGCACATGGACTTCTTTCTTCCTGTAGGACCTAGCTCCAAACCAAACTCTTTCATTGTTTTCTTCCCTTAGAGAGCCGCCTGGAGCAGCTGGAGATCAGATTCCCCAGGGAACCTCTGCACACTGCCTTCCTGCTGCCAGTGCTCAAGGCATCAAAGTCCCTCCAGCAGCTGTCCCTTGACAGCGCCATGCTGCCCTGTTCTCAGGAGCTTGGGCTCCTTTTGGAGGTGCTCAAAGGTACTCTGCTAACCTGTAGGTAGCATCGCTGTGACACACAGTAGCTTCCTTGCTGTGATCTTCCATCCTTTAACATGAAGCCAGCTTAGGTGGGTCCATATCTTCAGTGTGGACATCCCTGAAATCTCCCAAGAAAAGGAAATGGGTGTCAGCCACCCACTTTCTGTGCTGAGCATATGAATGATCCTGCACAGCAGGATAGTTCCTTTTTAATTACCCACAATCCAGCACAAATTATCCACAGTCCAACTCAGTTTCTGGGCATTAGCTGGTAGTTGGGTCAGGGTCTTTTTATCTCAAGAACATAGAGTACTTTACCTGAGAACTTGTTTTGCTTTTAGAGTGTAATCCACATTTGAAGAAACTGAGTTTTCATGATGTGAACCTGGCTGAGCACCAGAAAGAAGTTCTGCTTTTGCTTCAGGATCCTGTCCTGCAAGGTACAGCAAACACCTGGGTGCTGTTGCTTGGAAAGGCGCTGCAGGTGGCTGCTTTTGGCTGTCTGACACTTAAGAGGTGATTTTCAGATGTGTAAGGTTTAGACAAATGTTACTGTCCCTGGAGCTGTTGGCAGAGTGGGAACAAGTCTGGTTCTTTGTGCCAGCAAGGCAGAGAGGAGCAGCTGCAAAGCTGGTGTATCCTGCAGAGACGAGTCCATAGTCTTGGCTATAAAACAAATATTTTTAAGCTGCAGAGCACATCAGCCTTTAACTGGGTTGGCTGGCAAAGCCACTTCCCTGGGTGTGATCTCCGCTCCCTTCCTGTGTCGGAACAGCAGTGCTGTTGTACGCAACCCACTGCTGGGGAAGCTTTGTTCTTGCATACGGATTAGGGGCTGGAGCCATGTAATTATGGAATAATGAAGCACACAGGGAGTACTAACATGTACTGTCAATCCATTTCTTCCTCAGAAATCACGTTTTCCTTCTGTCGGCTGTTTGAAAGCTCTACTACTGAGTTTTTGTCAGAAATAATCAATACAGTCAAAAGGAATACATCTTTGAAGAGCCTCAAACTGCCTGGGAATCGCCTTGGTGCGTACTGTGAATGTTGCTATGGGGCCTTGACCTTAGACCAGCTCTCTTGCAGATAACTTCAGTTGGAATTAGGACTGTTGCTAGCTGGTGACCTCCGTGCTGAACTTACAGAGCTCACAAAACAAGGAGCACTGAGTTCATTTTTTAAAGGCAGAATTTCACCTGCATTCAGCAATGTACCAAGAGCCCAGGTGCTGCACAGGCATTATGGTTCCTTTTCTCTGCAGCAGAAGCAAGTATAAGCGGGACTCCAGATTTGTCTGAACGCTGATCTGCTTCAGACTCTTTAACAGGAACAGATCCAGCAGCAAATGCACTGCCTCTCAGTCAGAGGCACAGGTTTTGCCCAAATTTGGGCATTGTGTTCCTTAAAAGCTGTTGGCAGCTCCTGGAAAGAGGGGAACAAGTAAAGGAAGAGTTTGTGTTAAATAAGTGGAACTGAATTTACAGAAATGGTAGGCTTTTTGCATCACAGGCTGAGTAGAAAAGTTTGAGAAATTAATTTCAGGTAAATCCAGAATATTGTTTTCTGTTCTTTTAATGAAATTAAAAGGTTGGGCTCACCTGAAATACACTTAATCGCTAAGATGTATGCTTGACCCTGTGCTTTTGGGCATTTTTAAAACGAAGCTGCATATTGCCTTCTCAGACAAAACCAGGATTTTTCTAGTGAAACAAACTGCCCTATCAGCAAATGTTTTTCTTGCTTTGAACACTATGTGCAATGGGGGGTGAACTCGCTTTAGGCTGCTGAGGCAGACAAACTGCGGGTGCAGAGATGACCCCTTTGTGGTGCATGCACATGCTTACAGCTTCCTTTCTGCACTACTGTCCCAGCCCTATGCCCATTTAAGTATTTAAGACAGTTGCCAGTTTGCATCTAACGCCTGCATTTCTTCCCTCTTAGGGAATCACAGGCTGGTTGCTCTTGCAGACATTTTCTCTGAAGATTCTTCCTCTTCTCTTTGCCAGCTGGATGTCAGGTATTCTGCTGCTCTAAACACACTGAATTTCTTGTTTTGGGAGGGCCAGAGCAGAACTGGGATCCCAAGAAAAGCTTAGAGAATGCTAAGGTGACACATACCACCTCAGGGACCTCCAGCATCTCTGAGGCATCTCACTGTCCCTTTTATAAATGAGCCCAGCTCTGTCTTAAAAGTAGCTTTGGTGTGCTGCTCCCTTGGGAGGCTGCTGCAAGTCCTTCCTGTGCTGTAGGCTAGAACTAACATCGCCATGTACATTTATTCTTAGGCATCAGCATGAGTAGTTCTGTTCCCACTGCCCTGGAATAGGGAGAGTGCTCTCCTTGCCCGATCCTGTGAAGGCCTCTGTATTCCTTTCATGATCTTTGGTCTTCAACCTGAACCGCGGCTCTCTTCTTGAACCTGAGTGGCCATAAAGATAGGCAGTAACCTTCAGGAAGCAATACTAATGATTGGGTTGGTTTTTTTTCCCCTTCTTTGCATTTTAATGGCTCAGTTTGCTGCAAGTACACAGGCTTAACAATTTATTTAACTGTGGCCATTCCTTCAGCAGCCTTGAATCCTGAATCCATATCTGCAACCGACTGTGAGTGTGCCTCTCACAAGATTTAAGTCCAGCATAGAACTTTATAGTTATTTATACATCTGTGCAGGGGAAATGACCTTTTAATCTCCTAGAAACCCTGGGACCTGACACATGCTACGCAGTTCTCCTCAGAAGAAGATAAATGGTCACTTACTGCTGAGGGTTGCACTGGAACCTGCTGTCTGGGCCAGGCCCCTTGGTCCAGGCAGGTCACAGCTGCTATGAGACCAAAGTGCTCCTGGCACTGTTAGCCCACAGCTTGGGTCTAACAATGTTTTAAGGCCATATCTAGGTCTACTCAAGTCACTAGTAAGGAGGCCAGGAGTGAGTTTAACTGGTCAGTGGTTACTACCATAGTTTTAAAAAGGTTCCTGCCCTTTATGTTATTGTGCTTCAGTTTTGTTTTTCATAAAAATTAAGACTACTCCCACTTTGTATTGCTGAAGGAGCTTGTACTTTGCGTTGAAGCATCCTCAGGTACCTGCCAGGCAGTTACTAGAAAGAACAGTAATTTAAATGCCTCAAATTATAGCCGAGACTCTTAATGACTTCTGTTTTTTGTCCTCCTTTCCCTGAAAAGCTCAAATTGCATCAAACCTGATGGGCTTCTGGAGTTCACAAAGAAGCTGGAAGGCCACATCCAGCAGAGAGGAGGACAGATTCAATTTACCCACCTCCGTCTCTTCCAAAATTGGCTGGACCAGGATGCTGAAACAGCTCAAGAAGCGCTTCGGCGTCTCAAAGCTGTATGCAGTGTGGTCAATGACTCATGGGACTCTTCCCAGGCCTTTGCTGACTACATCAGTGTCATGTGAGGGATGCAGAAAAAAACAGATCAGCTTGAACTAAGCAGTTCAGGCCCTGGTCAACAAGATTTATTTCACAGCACAGGTGAGGTTTTATTTTCCTGGTTCAAGCACCATACAGTTGTTGTTGTCACTTTTCATTTGAAGAAGGGGAACCACAGTGAAGTGACACACAAGACTGTGTGGGTCAACAGCTGTATTTCCAGGTGATCTAACTCTACCCTCTTCTTAATTTGAATATTTTAAGTGGGACAGGTATCAAATGAGCTTCTGTAACTTCCTGCAGATCTCGGGAGAAGCAGTTCTTTATTTCACTGGCTGTTGTTACAAATTTCATGTTGTTTCAGCCAATGTCTCATCAATAACTATCTCCATTGTTGGAGAGACTCAGAAGCCGTGTGGTTGTGGTCCTTGGCAACCAGTTCTAGGTGACCTTGCTTTTGAGAAGGGGTGTTAGACAGTATGACCTTTAGGTCCCTTCCAACTTCAACCATTCTGTGATCTGTGAAATAAGAATTCCTCCCTCCACTTAAAGGGAGTAGAAAACAAGCTAAAAAAGCCCCCAGACTTGACCTTTTATATTTGGAAAATTTTACATTATTAAAAAAAAAATTCTTTATGTACCAAGTAGCCTGCTGTTTATTTGCAGTCATTTATCAAGGTGGTTGGGGCAAGAAGAATGCCTCCAAGTTTTTATTTTGTAACATTTTTATAATAAAAATATAATTAAGACCCATAATGTACCAAAGTGTGAATTTTATTATTGGCTTGTAATGTGGTCTAATTAAAACACTCTGCTAGATCAGGGGATCCTGCCCATATCAAGCAAGTGGTTTTAGAAATGGAGTTACCTTAACAGAGTCTGATTTCCTACTGCATGCATGATCTTTCAGGCTAAATTTTCAACATACAAGCTGAAATTTTTTTCCCTTGTACAATGTTGTTGTTCCTGAGTAATCAGTAAGGTTCACATTTCACAACAAAAGTGAATCTTGCAAATTTCTGATCAGCAGCTGTAAGCCATAGCTGTCAAGGAAAAACACATGACTGTGCACATCAAGTGCTATAAAACTGCAGGATTAACTTAAACAGGACAGCAAAAACTTGGCTGAGAAGGCGGCACAGACATCAACAGCGTGAGAACCAGTGCTGAGTCTGATCAAGTACACAGAGTCCAGTTATTCCCAGTTTCAAAAGGGCTGTTCTTCAGGCACACAATACAACAGCAGAGAAAAAGCCACAGACTCCTTGCTGCTGCAGCAAATTGACCAATGCAAGGGCCTTCCAGCCTCTCAGAAACAGTACCGTTCTGCTATTAACACAGCCAGGCAACAACCCAGCGTGTACTGCGACCCACGACTCCTTTCCTTGAAAGGGACTGAAGTGGGGTGGACTGCCACAGCAGCCTGCCCTTGCCCCCACAGGGGACAGTAACCTGTTAGGGAATCCCTCGCTGCTCCTCATGGGAGTGATGATGGAAAGTGAAGGTGATGGCAGCATCCCATGCAGCCTTCAGCACAGAGTCCTGCAGCCCCCGCTTATCGGCACAGTGGTTCCACTGGGAGAGGTCAGAGGTACAGTCAGACCCTTCAGGAGGTGGCCGTACCTGGTGGCCATTCACACAGCGACGACATTTGATCCTGGAACAGAGTCAGTGCAAGATCAGTGCCAGGTTCCTCCACTTCTTCAGCATATGGGTTGTTTAAAAATACAGCCCAGGAACATATTTGGATTAACTCCCCTTCACCTGCAACACTGGTAACTGGATTTTCAGACAAAATTAATTACTACCATGTTTCATTTAAGCATACAACCACCTTCTGGCATACGCAACAGATAAGGAATGACCCTCATACATTTTGGAAACCCTGGGGTTCTGTTTGTAATGGTGCTCCCCCTCCGTGTGTAGCCATGTGGGAATGGTCCAGGAGGACCCAGAGGAAGTTCAGGAGCAGCTTCCCCTGACAGGTAAGGGATGGTGCTTAGAGCAGATCTCAAGTGAACACCCCCGCTGCTAACATATTCTTAGCACTGCATCAGGCTTCCTGAGTTCAAGAGAGCACACCATGCTCCAAATTGCTCCATCCTGGCTGTTCTGGAGATGCCCTACTGAGCTGCCATGTAAGGAGACAAAGAGCAGCAGCAGCCCTGCCAGCAAGGCTTGTTGCCATGCAGACAAGATACCTACACAGAGCTAAGCTTTGAGTCAGCTTAAAACTAATCCTCTTCTCTTCCTGCCTGAACTAAGAGTCTTAACTTTCACAGTGAAACATTTTCTTGCACTCCCTGTTCTCTTTCTGGTGTAATACTACAGGTCTCAGGGGCATGAGGGAAGGGCAGACAATGGAGAAGAGGACTCTTCGTCCCCAGAACACTTGGGTTGGCCTCATGAATTCTTAGCAGATGGAATAGTCCTGGCAGTGGAAGCAGCTCAGCATTTGGAGATCACACACCACAGGTAAAAGAGTGTCAAGGAAGGACCAAGCTGGGCTTCACCAATTTGAAAAACTCTGATCAATTTCTCCCTTTTCATTAGCTGCAGTATTTCACAGCCTCCAAACACAGCCAGCAACAAGATAGTTTGCTCATTTGTCCAGCCAGCACAGCTTTTCTAAGACAACAAAAAAGGAGGACAGCAAAAAAGTGCTCATCTCCAGGTGGTTAACAGCTTCAAAAGCAGGGACATTTGAGGTCCTCCCACTGCCTAAAGAGCCCCTGAATCAGTAGGCCAAACTGTGGAGGGGTGTTTGTTTGCTGACTCTATCCATCAGTCATTCAGTATACTCACTTGTCATGGGTGTCACTGGTGGTGGTCTCATTCAATGAGAAGAGCTCCTTCAGCTCCCCAAGTGAGAAATGCCTTTCTACATCCTGCTCTTCATCCACCACACAGCTGCTGAGGGCCTTCTTGTGGGTCTGGCGTTGGAAGATCTTCTCCTCTATGGTTCCCGTCTACAGGAGAGTCAGAGATGAAGCACAGTTGGGACACTTTGGTAAAGGAGCTCTGTGCTGGGAAAGCATCACAGATCAAATGGCAGTAAGCTGTCAGGACCATCTAGTGCCTTTCCAGACCAGCAGAGATGACAGGCAAATTTTACTAGCTGCACTCCAACCACATCCTATTTGGTTGCTGATCTAACCCAACTCTGCTTCTCTTGTCTTTCACCGTGGCTACAGGAGTGGATCCAATGGAGATATGGATGAGGAGGACGTGGGGCTGCCACTTGCAGCTGGAGCTTACACACCGCACCAGGTTGTGCTGACAGAAAACAAAGGAAAAGAAGCTAAGCAGCTACAGCTCTCCCTGAGAAAAAATAACCCAAACAGCAAAAGAACCAAAAAAGAACCATCAGCACCATTTGCTGGTTTACCCACACACAGATCAATCACACTCACTGTCTGGAGGGAGATGACTACTTGTAGAACAGATGTGCAGAAAGCCCAGTATGCTACCTTGTTAAGGCAAAAATCTAAAAGCAAAATGTCTGTGTATGACATTTGTCTGCAAAAAACGAGGGGTGCGATTAGTCCTGATCTCCAGTCAGGTTTGCTAGTTCTAAAAACGAAGGACATCCCTGCTTCCAGGTGCAGCCAGGTCAGAGAAAAAGTGGAAGACCATAAGGAAGAGATGGGCAAAGAAACCTGTTTTGTCAAAGTAAAATAATAATTGATCAAGGAACACAAGCTTACAAAAAAACCCCAAAGCCCACAACAAAAAAACCCAAAGCAAAACAAAAAACCCCACAGTCTGAACTCCTGAGAGGTGAAGGTGAACAAGAGCAGAGAGGAGACATTTCTGAGCAGTAATCACTACTGGCACTGCTGGACAAAGCATTTCAGTAGCCTGAAAAGACTGGTCTCCATGCTTTTCCCTTACATAGCAGCTGCCTCACCTGCTAACTGGTAGCCCCATTCCAAAAGCTGCGGTAATTCTGGGAATGTACTTGCTGGTTTTTGACTACACGTACACCCAAGCACAACAGACTGCAGCCAGACTGAAAAACAGCAACTTCGGCATCAGACACTCCACAAAATTAAAGAAGTCAGATGCCTAAATGACTTCAAAGAGCCATCTTATCTGGAAAGCCGCAGTTGTTTATTTCTCAGAAGCCAGTCACCATTGGCAACCAAGGCCTGCAGTAACGACCCTCCAGCCTGAACCTTCATGGTTTTCCACAGCAACACATCTAAGGGTAGGAAGCAATTAAGTTCCAATCAATTCTGGTCACTGACACAAAAGGGTTCTTCCCCTTTTGGTCCCAATCACAGCAGCTGCAGTTTGGGCTGGCACCACAAACTCCATGTTGAGGAGTTGAGAGGAGTTAAGACTCACTGAAAGCAGTCGATAGATGTAACACGTCTTCTTCTGGCCATCTCGCCACACACGAGCCATGGCCTGCTCATCATTAGCTGGATTCCAGTCTGGGTCGAACATAACCAGTCTGTTAGCCCCAATCAAATTCAAACCGCAGCCGCCAGCTTTGCTGCTTAACATGAAGATAAACTCAGGGCTCTGTGGAAAGAGGCAGGCTTGGATTAGACTGCAGAGGCAGCCATACTTTCGCAGCATTCAGAACTGGCAGGAGAGCTGCTTACATTTGGCAGGTTCTACTTACCGAGGGGCTGTTGAATCGCTCTACAATCTTCGCTCGCTTTTTAATGGACATGGTGCCATCCAGCCGTACATACAAATACCTACAATATACAGCATTTGCTACAAGCAGACTGCTGCAACCTTTAGAGCATCCCATTTCAAAGAGAAAAAAAATATTTCACAAACAGCCTTGTAACAAGGGTCTGGGCTTTCGGAGCTTTTGCAAAGCGCCAGAGCTTGTCTGCTGAGTGACCCCAGTAGCCAAAGCACAAGCCACATTAGTTCCAATTCAGGAACATCTGAGGTGAAAGACAGATCACAAGTTCCTGCTG